CATTACCTAGCTAATCTGCAGATTAACTAGGGTGATCCGTTAAAGCTGCGAAAATTATTCCATTTCTCAAATTACCTAGGTAATGTTCAGATTATCTAGGTAATCTGCAAATTACCTACTAGGCACTCGGTAAAGTGAAAATAAGATTTTTGCTGGAACAACAGCAACGTTTCTGTACGCTTAAATTAACATAATGTTATTTATTTAATTTTCACTATCTAAAGAATCAAGTTAATACAATCAAACAATCAACAAATTAGTTGATTGAATCAATCATTAATCAATTAAAAAAACTTTAATACAAAAATCAAACCGTTTAAAATATTATTACTATTAAGGAAATGAATTTGCAAAATATATGATAAAATTATACTTATTAGTGCAATCTAAAGAATGGTGACACTTTGAATTACATAGGTTTTTGGATAGCTTTTATAAACTTGATACTAAAACAGGTATTTTAAAACAATTGTATGCAAAATCTGAATTCAGTGTTTGCAAAGAGAGATTTTTAACGAAAGAAGATGGATATCCCTGCTGTAGAAATATCTTTACGTCAAACAGCAATAAAACAATCCCGTGGTACTGGACAGGGTTTCAGAAAATGTGACTGCAAATATAAATGTACCACAAATAGGCGTGCTTGTCGCAAAAACCAATATATAATTTATATATAATACTGTACAGACGATAGTAAACTCAATTTACCCGCCTAAATTCTCCGTAGCGTGGCGCTGGACGGCGGAAAGTAGTTCGGCTGCCCGATGACGTTTTACCGAATTATAGGAGATTTTTTACCAGGTTTGTATGGATACCGTCGCCATCTGATAGGAATCCTAATTATAGAAACCCGTGTTATAGGGGGTCTACTGTACTTCAAAAGAGTGCATAATATTTTGTCTCTTTCAAACAAAATCAATTTACAAAACCATAATTAGAAGTAATTGTGTTTAAAAATTTATAAACCTCACTTCCTCAATGCTAAAAATCACATTTTCCATAAAATGTACCCTGTAAAATGTTTGAAATATAATAATCTCGGAACACGTTATCTGTAGAGCTACACTGCGTTGTATTTCTAATCACAATAACAATCATATTCGAATAAATATTTTTTACATAAATATTTAATTTAATTAATATTTTTGGTTTATGTATTTTCTAGGAAAAATTTTAATTCGGTTTTCCAAAGATGTTAAGTCAATGGATGATTTGTTACCTTTCTTTACTTTCATGCTGATAAGAGTAAGTTAATTTTAAATATATCGATTTATGTAAAAGAAATTATAAAAAGTAATGAACATTTAACACAAATAGCCAGTTGCAAAGGCATTTTTTGCGAATTAGACACGAGTGTTTTGTTTACACAAATGTAACACACTAAAAGTAAAATTAGCACTGTAATCTAACTTTTAACATAAACACCACCAGTGTTAATGTATTTATGTCAGCTACGACCAAGTGTATGTGTCGTTTTTTTTCTTTCTTGCATCTTATCGACCCGTTCGGATTCGAGCCCGGGTCCCACAGAGTGATAGGTTGCCACCTTGATCGTTCGTCCATCCAGCCGCCAACTGTATGTATTATTAACACAGAGATGACACTTTTAAACGGAGTGAAAAAAATAGATTACTTAAAAAATTTAAATTTTAACATTGCGAATTACTTAATAGCAATTTATATTCTTTAATTTTAGGGATGTTTTATTGTTGTCGGCATGTGTGTTCTTCAAGCGATACTCTGTCCTTATCTATTTATATTGATTGCTGTCCTTTTAGTAATATTCTGTGCTTTGTGGACCATCTTTAGCCAAGTGTTGAAAAGCGTAAAACATTTGGAAGGAAAATGTGAGTATTTCGAATATAAAAGAGTTTATTGAATGTAACTTAATTTCATGCAGAATTTTGCCGATGGAATTTGTGAACAGGGTTGCAGACTCGGTAAAAATTCTAAGATGCAAAGTTACAAGGCAAAAGCATAAATCGTTTGTTTTATTTTATAAGCTATACAATTTTTTAAAAATCATGTGATAAAAGGTGTATTAATTCTGTACACAAGAAACAGGTTATATCCAATGTTTAATTTTTCTTATTGCTAACTGCCAGACAATCACTTTTATTATGAAAGGAAACAGGTGGAATTACAATTATAGATTTAAAATGTTTATGAAAAGTTATACAGAATAATTGAAGAAATTGTAATTCATAATCTGTTTACTTGCTTGAAGTCAATTTAAAAATATTACTTAATTTGAATACTGTATATAATTACAAATTTTTACCTAATCCTACAGATTATCAACGACAAAGTATGAAACAGTAAATTATCTTTGATTTAGTAAACAGATATAATGTATTTATAGGAAACGTTATAAAAAGTTATAGGTATTTCTGCGAGTTCAGATGTAATAATCTCTTAGAAAAATCTGTATAAATATTTTAATTTATTAGAAGACGGACAATTATCATCTATATTACAAATATTATTTTGTTACAAGAGAGTTCAAAATAAAATCGCTTTTTTAAGGATGAACGGTTTAACCAATTAGGCATACAGGAAATTTTTTGTAATGCCTAGATTTTTTTAAAGCGTTGAAATTGAACATTGCACACAAATTCACTTTAGAATTTTTCCAAACATTTGATTTTAACAAAGAAAATGAAACTTTACAAGTTGTTTATTACAGCATTGTAGCAAGAAATTGTTTTGTAAACTTAAAATATACGGAAATGCGAATTTGCCGTTATAAGTTAGAACTTCAAAATATTATCGGAAAAAATAATAAGTTGTTCAAAAGTAGGAAGTAAACAAGATGTCTCCTAATAAGCCAGACAGTTTAATACTTAGAAAACCGTCAGCTTTATATAATGCGTGTTTTATGAATTAACGAGAATGGGCTATTCGTTGTTGCATTTCTGAATTTTCTCATCTCTAAAAACAGAAGGGAAGTTATTTCAAATGCTATAGTGCATAATGTCGAAATTACTGCATTCTACACTTTTTTTCAATCAAAAATGATTAAGAAAGCCCACAAAGTACTTTGCAAAATTTGAACGGTCGTGTAACTTCTCAGAATGAGGTACAGTTTAAAAAACAAAATTTGCTGATGCTTCACGTTATTACATAAAAATAAATTAGGTTACTAAATAATTTTAATTCAGTTTTTATTTTTGAAGTAAAAAAATATATCTGCTTGTTAAATCTTTTAAGTGAACTTCGAATAATTTACTGTATTTTTTAAAGTACGCAGGAACTTCTTTTCTTTTTAATAAACTCTGAAAATACAGAATTTCACACGGCAATTTTATCATGGGAAATAAGGCAAATAACATGTTTCAAGTAGGAAATATTTTTCTGGCGAAATTTGAATTTTCTCTTGTCTTGATCAATATGCCATAACCAAATTCTGTGTTATAAAAAATATAAATTTAAAGTTGATGAAATAATTTTGAATATAATTGGCACTTGAAAATATTTAAATTATTACGTTAGCGAAAGTAATACATAGATAGACCGAGGTCTGTACAGTACATACCTGTAATTATAAAAAATGCCAAAGTGAAAATGTCTAATTTATTCTTTATATCTATAAAGAATAAATTAGCCTTTTCCACTTTGGCATTCGGCCTAGATTCAAGTCACTAAAAATGGCTAAAACTTTCTGAAAAGAAGGATTGTGTCTTTTTTATTCGCCTATGAAAGGTATTCGTTTTTTATTACTGACAACATCACTTCATTTAAAACATCTTTGAAACTGAAACAATCAAAATGACAGAAAACGCCGGCAACATTTCGATTGGTCAGGTATGTATTATGACACCAATTTTGTCATTATAACATCACCTGAACATAGTAAATATGTTTAGGTGCTTTCTTAAATGTAATAATTTTTACATCATACTTTACAAAAATAAATGAATGTGTACCTAAAAAATTTAGGATGCAATAGGCTGCATCAAAATATAATGTGGGTTGCAGTGCGACCCGGGGACAACGGGTTGGACGTCTCTGTTTAAGAAGAATGTCTTCTTTTTCAGTTGTTGTTTCACATAAAGAGTACAATGTTCTGCTTGCATTTTAAGTTCTATGCAATTCTGATCAGTCGTTTGTTAAATATAGATAAATATGTTCTGGTGCTTTTATAAATGTAATAAGTTAATCATTATTATATTTAAAATATAAAATAATTCGATTCTATAATACAATTCTTGTAAAATACTTGAATTATATATACAAATTTCTTTTGACAGTGAGAAGCCCAGTATTTTCACATCTGAGTGTATCTCTTTACGGACTGACGACAATTAGAGCATTTAACGCTGAAAGCAAATTTAAATCCATGTTTAATAAGTATCAGGATAAGCATACTTCAACGTTGTTTATTTACTTGTGTTTAATTCGATGGATTTCCGTATACGGTCACATAATTTGTTTCATAAATCTAATTATTACTGTTATTATTTTCGGTGTTTCAAATAATTCAGGTGGGTGGATATATTTAAATGTCTGAAATGTATAATATAAATATTTTTGAATATATATTTGCTTATTTAGGTGACGCAGGAAGCAAAATTGGACTTGCATTAAATTACGGAATACTAATAATTACGAATATTCAAAGCTTTATTACATTTGCATGTGAAATGGAATTTCAGGTATTGCATATGGAACCATCCCGATAATTAATTTAAATATCAAACGAACAGCCAATCGCTTTATCGGACCATATCCAATTTTTCGAACAAGGTAAACTTCTTGGAAAGGAAAGCAAAACACTAGGTAAAGAATACATATAAAATAAAGTCCAATAAGTGAATTTGGGTGTTCGTTTTATAATTCTGGTGTTATTTGTTTAAAAAGCTAGTAATTGTTTAATAATTAATTGTTATGTTTAGCACTAGTGTATGTATATTACTAGAAGACAGCAGTTTTTCTCGAAGTCAAGAAATCCACTTTAATTTTTGCTCATAGTTCAGAAATGAACGGCAATTTAAAAAATAAAAAAAACTCGATTATCGTTTAAATTTGTCAAAATCATTTTTAAAACATGTAAAACGGAAAGGCAATTTTGGGGAAAAGAATATGTCTCGGAGACTAAGGGCTCGACTCCGCTCCTTTTTCTAAGGAACAGAGAAAATGAGCAAAGCCAACATCGATACTCGGGGTCCTTGCGTAGATTACAGTTTGCTTTGTTGCCGCCGTGTTTACGACTAGTTGCGTTGTCACCGGCGGGTTTTTGGCTACGAAAAGCGGGAAGATATTTGTACCCAAATTGTCTCAATGTTTTCGCCATCCTGCGAAACGACGAGAGCGAGAGAATACATTCGTAACTTGTTTCACACGTTTGTGAAAATTTGATTTCGCAACGTTCGCATTTTGAACTTACCAACGAGCAACGTATACGCAAATCTCGCACTTTTGTCTGTTTGTAGAAACAATGTCGCCATTTTGTATTTTATTTTGACCCGCTTTTCGGTTTCCTGACTATCTACAAGTCTGTTTTTTATGTGCGCATTATTTAGGCACCAAACACTCTGTAACAAATTGAAACTCCTGACGTGTATTCCTTCATACCTCTAAGGCAGTGTTTTCAACCTGTGGGTCGCGACCCCCAGGAGGTCGCAAAGCCTATAAAACAAGTGTTTATAGGTCCTACACTACAATAAAAAAAACCTACGATCTCAGTGAGAAGGCTCCGCCTGTTTATTTTAGAGTACAACTGGTTTTTTGATCGATATTTAGGTCTCAACAGAAAGAAACGTAAATACATAGGTTTTAAAATTACTGACATAGTGTTTATATGACCCTGGGGAATCGCCAGAATTTTTTAACTTGTAAAGGGTTCGCTTATTCAAAAAGGTTGAAAAGCACTGCTCTAAGGTATCCAGCCTTTTACAGCAGCGCGGTTTTATAGAAAAGACAGTCTCGTCAACAATTGCGAAGTATCTATATTTCACCATTTTTTAAGTAACGACCAATTTTCAGCTGCTCAAAAAATTACTGCTCGAAAGTCATCCACATGACACCAAATTGAAACTTTAACTGTTAAAGTTTCAACTTGGTGTCATCTTTAGATTTTTTGTTGTGTATGTTAAAGTTTAACTTACACAACAAGAAATCTAAAGCCGTTTATCACACCACTTAGAATAAAAATATTCCAATCATTAGTGTCATTGAGGTTCTGCATGTAATATAATCTCTTCTTAATATATATTCTCGGATAATACATCTTGTTGCCTCAACAAGTTTTATAGTCTGTTTTAATTCATAAAACAAAAATTTTCCAGATGAACTCTGTAAAGCGCATTCGGAAATACAGCAAATTGAAATCGGAAGCAACGTACGAAAGTTTGCCCGAAAAACGGCCGCCCTCGGACTGGCCCCAAACAGGACAAATTCATTTCGATAATGTTTCTTTACAATATTCCGAGGATGAAAACATCGTTTTAAAGAATTTGACTTTTCGTATTGGCTCGGGAGAAAAGGTAAAACGTCTGCAAATCAGAAGTGCATTGTTAGTAATTATTGTGTAATATCGTTTTTTTTATTTATTAATTGCAGATAGGAATTGTCGGGAGAACAGGAGCTGGAAAGAGTTCAATAATTGCTTCGTTATTTCGCATGACGGAGACAACGGGAACAATCACCATCGATGGAATCGACACCAAAGAAATCGGTCTTCGAGATCTACGTAGTAAAATATCCATCATTCCTCAAGTAAATAAACGCTAATTCGGTCAACATAATTCGTGATTTCTAATTTTCATATTTTTTCTGTAAAAATGTTTTTCATTCTTTAATTCGTAAAATTTTAATTTTTAAAATATATTCTTTGTCGATGTACTTCATCCAGATGGTTAAACTCTGTAGGTGTCAACCTACTATTGCATGAACCAGAGATCGAATCAGAACAAAGTAAAGTACACAAGACTATTTCATGGGGGTCTGTTCCGGATATTTCGAGTCCTATCCCTTTCCGTGTACCTTGCTGTTGTGGACCTAACAGAACTTAACAGTAGTGTAACGTAGGGGGGCGAAGAGTCCCTATGCTACGCGACTTGTCGACTTGTAGACTTGTAGACTTGTAGACTGAAAGCTGTATTGATAGTCAACCGAACTTAATTTGTCGGATTAAAGAGACATACATTCATAACGAAATAACAGCTACCATAAGTGATATTTAGAAGTATGTTATTCTACTAGAGTTCATCTATTTTGCCGCTATATATAAAAGTTAAACGGAATGTCATTGTAAACANGTATTGATAGTCAACCGAACTTAATTTGTCGGATTAAAGAGACATACATTCATAACGAAATAACAGCTACCATAAGTGATATTTAGAAGTATGTTATTCTACTAGAGTTCATCTATTTTGCCTACTAGTTAAGCTCCTCCCGCCCCGGCCGGCATTTTGCTACAGGCGACAAAACCCTATCGTTGAATTAAAATTAAGAAGTCTTTGTACTCTGGAGGAATGATCAAAAAATCAATGAGTTTATTGGTAAGGTAAATAATAACAATGACAGTCTTAAGTTGAAGAGTGAACAGAAATGTGTAAGCCAGATTTGACGAAATTCTTTTCTCAAAAATTTCTGTTTTCAAATTTAAATTAATTCAAATCCCAGCGAAAAAGAAATTTTCAATTTAATTACCGGAGTACGATCACTTCTCTCTCCCCGGAGTGACTTCCTTTCCCAGGGGACTCATAGAATGTGTCACCCAGAACTAACTTGAAGTATTCACCGTTGATTCAAAATCGCTAAAATGAAGGCATCGAAACTAAAGAGGGAGGACCCCCAATATAAGAGGGAGGTCGAGGACAAGAAAATCGTTGGAAGTGCGAGAGTTCATCGACTCTGCTCTGTTCCCAAGAAAGTGTAATGTAACTGTGTTCTATCGCTGATGCATTCGACCGTCGCTCCTGCGCAATGTTGCCGTTCCCGAACTTTCGAACTTCTCGATTCAAGAACATGACAAGCCGACATAACGAACACGAATTTCATCAACAATCTACTGTCTAATTATCGACCCATAAATCAAGTTATCAAGGTATTCAGCATCACGCGAAATAATGTAAGCTCTCTCGGCTAGGAACTCCATATTTACTTGTATAATGTCCAATAGATTGTTACGCTATATCAGCCTTATCCAGTATGTTACTCTATGAATATATGTCTCTTTTATCCGGCAAGTTAAGTTCGGTAGACTATCAATACAGCTTTCAGGTTAGACACTTCTGAATGTTTGGAAAGTGTATTTTAGATGTTTTTAATGGTTGTATTAAAAACTCTTCTCATGTTGTACGTTATACACCGTGCTTTTAGAAGACAAAACCATATTATTGCACTGAAGAGGTGCTTAGCATTTATATAAGCCTGAAATGCATATGTGTAAACAATAAAAGAAGTGTCTAACCTGAAAGCTGTATTGATAGTCTACCGAACTTAATTTGTCGGATTAAAGAGACATACATTCATAACGAAATAACAGCTACCATAAGTGATATTTAGAAGTATGTTATTCTACTAGAGTTCATCTATTTTGCCGCTATATATAAAAGTTAAACGGAATGTCATTGTAAACATATGTTTATATAGATTACAAAAAATAAAGGGGGTATTATTTTTCGTTATAACAAAGTTGTAGTATGCACTTATTTCTGTCCCATTGTCTCTCAGGCCGTCTTCATCACGGACCCCTTGTGTCTTCATGCGTGACTGCTGGCGCAAAACCAAAACTGCAGCCAACTGGTTTTTCTGTCTGCCTTAAAAGACATAGTGGTGTCAGTCCTGACATAACTATCACCACTATGGGTTTACCGTCTGGTCACAGAAAGGATCCTCAAAGGTACATTTTTTATAAATAAATATTGAATTCAAAGAAGGGCATTTGATCACTAGTGTGTACGTCAAACCGACGCATAGCCCGCTTTAATCCCGTCACACTCAAATGGTCCTTACCTATATCCTTACCTTCCGAGCTCTCATTAGAAGGGCCTTTCTGTATCGTAGTAGTGTAGTTGATACACGGAAGGAGTTCAACAGAATATTGCAAGTGGTCAGAAGTCTGGGATATAGAGCATATACAATAATAGCATTAATTAAAAGCCACAAAATGGGCACAATAAAGATTTCAAGCGGCGATATCGGTAAAAGAACAAAGTTCACGTACGATAGAAATACGAAAGCCATCGTGAAAGAAATTTCAAACCGTAAAAAGTCCAAAATGATTTTGAAAAGTGCTCCGAACTTCTATAAGGTATTAAGGAATGACTAGGATAGCATTAGTAAAGTAGGAAAGCAGGAGTGTACGTGATTCCTTACGAAAACAAGGAATTAGGAGGAATAAAGCAAAACTATATAGTTGTTACTAAAAGTAATTTGGGAATCAGGCTGAAAAACACAAATATAGTGTTAATAAGAGATCCAATGCCACTGCATTATCTCAGATGGTGCAGGCTGAAGGCTCCATAGTGAAATGGGAGGAAGCAGATATTGTTAAGACCGTGAACTTTTGAGTTTTGCGAAGAAAAGATTTATAAGGGAAAGCTGTAGTTTTTCTGCGCTTTAGATACGTGCATGAATGCAAGGGACGCAGAAGGGCTACCATTTGCGTGGGTGTTCTTACTTGAAAAGTTTTTTAAGACCTCGGAACTCATGTATTATTTATTTACATTTTTACATTTCTGATTTTTACATATCTTATTATTACATGATAAAATGTGATTATTAGATTAACAGTTTTGCATATTTCTTCACAAGAATCTACATAAAATTTTATATTGATTATTAATAGAAAGTGTGGTAATGAATAAATTTACTTTTTATAAAAAAAGCGTGTAATTTCAATGGAAATCAATTATACACTAACAGCAATTATTTTTTAAAATTACTCTTTGTTTTATTAATATTACTTATAATACTGAAAGATTGGATCAAAACAATAAAGTGTTTTTATTTGCGGTAACGATAATAAAGTTATATTTAAATGAAGTAAGAGCATTAATTAAGTAATTATATCCGATAAGTTTGTCTGTGTCGTCAGAATTCTAACAATTACAGCTGAAAAGTGTATAAATCTGTCTCTATGAAAATTAGACGATAGTTTGAATTGTCTGATTAGTTAATGATCCCAGATGCATATTATTAAATATTTAATTAAAATTATTGAAAAAGGAAGAGATTAACTAGGCATATTTTTCAGGATCCGATGTTGTTTACCGGTCCTCTTCGAAGAAACATCGACCCTTTCAACGAATATTCGGAAGAAACTCTGTGGAAAGTCATGGAAGAGGTTAGAATTAAATAAATATTTCAATTTGGTCCCTGATTTTCTTTTAAATTCCTTTAACTATTAAACTTAATTACATTGTATTTACTTTCAAAAACATCTGAATTAAAGGTACAGTTAAAAGAAGTTATTAGTAAATTACCTGGAGGATTGGATACGCACTTAACGGAAGGAGGAAGAAATTTCAGCGTGGGAGAAAGACAATTAATTTGTCTGGCCAGAACCATTCTTCGCCGGAATAAAATTCTCGTCATGGACGAAGCAACGTCCAATATCGATAAAAGGTTAGAACACGTGAAGTAGAAAATATTATCTAATTTCAGTTATAAATTATGTTAAAATAACAGTTGTAGATTACTGGTTAAAAAGGTTTTATGTGTAATAGTTTATTTACCCACTCCAGTAAGTTGAGAAGAACACTGTCAATTACAAAACTGACGAACAGATAGCATTCCTAGTGGAGTCAAGTTAAAACGAAAACATAACTGAAACAAAAACGCTACGTTTGAGTTCTGTTTCTGTCTTTATGTTTTCAGGTAATGTGGAGTCCAGGCTTAAGACTGTTCATATTCAGGATGATTAGATAAATGTTATGTCAATAATCAGATGGACGATATGCAGTGTGGTGCCCTGGGAATCTGGAATGAAATTCTGAGCAACACTGAAAAATATATTATGCACGACAATGTCAAAATATGTTCAACCTCGTTTGTATTTGGCCCGAAATGATCATGAATGTAAAGGTTTTTTATATCTATAGGTCAAAAAGAACCAGGCATTAAGAAAGCTTCATTATCCAGGTTCATAATTTAAGTAGCTTGTTACAATTAGTTTTAAATACAAAATTATTAATTTTTTAAAAAATTCTGTTCAAAAAGAAAATATTCGCGTCCTTATATGTAACGACTAGACTTTAACAGAAAAAAATAATAGTAATTACTTGGAAATGTAAAGACGTTTTCCTGACATGACGAATTTAATTGTATGTGTTAATTATCCTTTGTTTACATACTTCGAGTTAAGAATGCTACAAACTTTTAGGATAGTTATTCATGATTATATGTATAAAATTTGACATTTTTCGTTATATTGCGTTTTTCTATAGCACAATTATTTTTTTATTTTTTACTTTTTGACACTGTATTCACTGGAAACTTTCGTTGTAAGTCAATACTTAAAAGTCACTAAATATTAAATGGGATTTCAATGAAGAAACAGGTAATGTCGTGTGGTTGTCGCACTTCCTACACTGATGTAGACAGAAATTAATTACATTGTTACAGTTTGAAAGCCAAATACTAATATAGCTTGTTACTGTGTAACACTTTCGACTTAAAGCACCTGCATGCCACTGGCTATCCGACACAGTATTAATATAGCGCAGCGGTTGCCAAATGCATGATAGGCGTTTGAAATTGTCAGTTTAGTGGTCAGTTCACAAACTAATTAATTGAATACAAAATTTCTTTATTTTAAAATTTTTACTTTTTATATGAATAATATTTACTTTATTAATTTAAAATTTTGTTTTTCTAACAGTCGGCACTACGTGTGAAGCCACTAAGTCAGACGTAGGTAAAAGTTAATTGATATATAGAAATTAAATCAATATTTTGGGGTTATGTAGGACACTAGATAGACGACATCGAAAAACTTGAGACGATGTTTATCGATGTAATTAGCCTGGGCGAGCAGTTTTAGCACTAATACGTCACAGATGATAGAGTATAAGTAATTTATTGTTGAGGAAGGAAAAAAATATGATGAAAAATACAGATAAAAAAGAAAAGTGTAATAAAGAAATTTAATTAAACGAAACGAAACTAAAGTAAATAAATAAAGTTAACTAAACTAAAAATTAAGAAATAAAAGAATAATAAAATAAAATCAGTTCGCATTCAAGTGGGAAAGTCTTTGAAAAATTGGAGTCGCTCGTTAAAGACAGTTGCATTTGAGATTTTGTCGAATGTGGACTGAGGGAACTGTGTCTGAAACATAACGTCGGCGAGATACTTGACACGACAAAAAACATATTTAAAATAGTTACATAAATGTTGAAAATATTCGATAGGATAAGAGGAACAAGTTGAGCGTAACTGCTGATATGTTGACGAAAGGAAATGAAATATTTTTTAAATCGATACAAGCTCGGCCATTGAGACACAGCAGAGGCAATTGAAGAGCTAGGTAACGTGGTACTATCTAGTGGGATGAGAGACGTAAATCTGTTTGTTTTTTTTCCTTAGAACTTTTCTTTTCTGTAGTTCAACTGATATTGACCAATCTCTGTGTAACAGACACTTGCGAAGTACAGGTTTGTTGTGTATTTCGGCTGTAGACTCTCATAAATTTAGCTGTTCTTAATAAGTGTAATCAGTGTTTCTGAAATTGATTGCTATTTGTCTCTTCTTCAACAACTCTGCCAATGTATCTATCAGGCAAGCCTTCCAGAATTCTATTACCTGATTAACAGTGCTACACAAAACGTTGGTTTCGTTGATAGAATCAGTAATTATTGACACTGATATAATTATACGGAATGTAAGGAAACTGTACTAACGATCTTGTATAAAATATTATTTCAAATATGCTTTTAGGAAGTCTGTCTGCTACTGCTTGGAGACAGTAATTACAGGAAGAGAAAAATTTTTTTTGTACTCAGTACATGCATTACCTTGACATAAATACTGTATTATAAAGGAGACAAACAAAAATTTATTTCAAAAACACAAATATTTGTTGTATTTGGGTCTTCAATTAATAAAAAAACAAAGAAAAACCATTTTAAAGTGCATTTTTATTCAACTAATATATTTATAAATAATATGTACCAAAATGTAGTTAACGCACCAAATGATATTTATACGCCAAACTAAAAACAGGGAAGACAAATTTGGCGCAAAGTAGCCAAATCTTTCAAATCTGAAAAAAAATATTAAATTTAGCTAGAGTTCGGATTCAAAGGATTATAGATCCAAATTCGGGGAAAGGAGAGAAAGCTAAAAAAATAAAGTCAGAAAGGTTAAATAGACTTTCTGTTATGCAAATATTGATCCTTAATTTTTCAATCTATCTCACTTCGTTTTATCTTTTGGCTTTTCTGTCCTTTATCCAAATTTGGAATTATAATCCTTTGAGTCACGACTTCAGCTTTATTAAGTATTCCTTCCTCATTCACACATTTCGAGTATTTGAAAATATTTCCTTTCTATCAGTGGCATAGCGTGGTTGTCAGCCGCCCGGGGCGGAGAAAAATTTCGCCGCCTCCTTATTTAGGAATCTCAATTTAAAAGACTAAAATTCAGTTTAGTCATAGAATAAGTAGTGAAAAATTCCGTGCTTATTTCAATCGGTCCGAATTGTAGGTGCGACAAAAATATGAAATGAAATGGTTCAAATTTTTAAAGATATTATTATTATTTATTGTGAAATTTTGCCCCCCCTAAAAGTGCCGCCCGAGGCGGGCCGCCCCGCCTCCCCCAATACCTTACGCCACTGCTTTCTATTAAAACCTAAAATATGTATAAATGTTTACGGCTTTGCAAATCTTTCTTTTAGGTTTATGCCGTAGAAATAAATAAATAATTAAAAAATTAACCAGTATTTTTACACCTGTATTGGGCCGCGGGTTGGACATCCCTAATTTAAAAATATAGAAATACTAAAACATATCTATGTATGTTTATATTCAATAAAACCTACTTGTTTTTACGTTTGGTACAAGTTTTTTAATAAAGAAATTTGTCTACCTTATGGTTCATGACTTTTAATTTTTATAATTGAATTTTGGACTTTGTTTTAAATAAATATTTAAAATGTATACTTTAATATGTAAATTAACTATTAATTAATTTTTTTTTAAAGTTTGAGGGGCCCGTAAAAAAAAGAAAATTCAATTGGGCCTCGCACCTATCGCATCTGGTCTTGGTCCCTAATTCCTTAATCTCTTAATTATTTAACTAGTTTTTAAGTAGAAATAAGTCGAAACCAGTTACTTTGTACTCGAATATTTGTAGTCTTGGGAAAGAAGTGGAGAGAGAAATTTTTATGACAATGGGTACATAAATCGTAAATATAAGAAATGTAAATTTAGTTGTAAATAATGCTGCCGAAGTAAGAGTTAATTTTTCAATATTGTACAAGAATTGTACATGTTTTTTTATGCATTTCCTTATTGATGGAACATACTAATTCGTAATATCACTACTTTAAAATTGAAATCCGTAAGTAATATAAGATGGCATAGCAGAATAAAAGTATCAAATATTTTAATGTAACGAAATTTATAATATATGAAAATAATCTCGCAATATGTATTTATATTTCAGAAAATACAAAGGAAGCGGCGCTTCCACCGCTTCCAAACACGGCACGCCACTGCTAATAAACATTGCATCTGGTTGTGGATTCGCGATTCCTCAACCATTTGACCGTTCGAATTGAAGGTTTTTCCGAAAGGCAATGTGGTTAGAAAAATCTCCCACTTGTTACGAACGATTAATTCAGTTAATCAAATAGCTTATACGACAAGAGTAAAAACTCTCGTGAATTGGCATGTATCATAGTGGCGACAGCGCGAACTAATGACATCTAGCGGTTCGAACAGTGCACTAACACCGCAGAATATGTAAAGTCTAACAAAACTTGCAATGGATTATACAGTTATTACATATGTGAAATCTTTAACATTTTTGTTCTCAGAAAACTTTCAGATGAATCGTTATTTTTTTGTCACATACGTTTTAATAAGGACTTTGAACTATTTATCTGCCAATAAATTAACACAATTGACACAAATACCTTTAATATTTACATTCGTTAAGAAATAATTAATTAAGTCACTTTCAATTGCATATGGGCTCTGTAACATTGTTTCGAAATAATGCTGATATTTCTGAAGATAATGTTTTTCCGTAAAATGGTCGTAAAACACAACATAATTTCTGTTTAAGTATTCTGGCCCTTTCGTTTTCAAAATCTTGTCTAAATCGGATCGTTTGCTTTTAATAACACACTGTGTGCATCTGAAAATTAATATGAACAGATACGTTCAATGATAACAATATTTTAAAAGAGGAATGCCGATATAAATTAAAGCAATCTAATTGCTTATTAATTTACTTACATTTGTTTGTTTTTAGGGAATCTGTAAAACGACTTGGCATCACTTTATATTTTATAATTAACGCAGCTTTACATAGCGCAAATAACTCCTCTTCCGGCCATTTTAATTATTGTGAAATATAAAAATGTTCAAAACTTTATATTATTACCAAAATCGTCTTCTTATGCACCCGAAACAAATGGAGTGAAGTGTAGTTATCACCTCGAACCACTAGATGGCGGGCAGAAGATTGTCGCCAGTTTTCAGCAGAAGTTCTATTATTGTCGTAATAAAATATTTGGTTTAATTTAAAAAGTTTTGTATTCTGTGAAATATTTTTTATCGAAAAAAGTCCCTATTAACATTTATTATAATTGAAACACGGAAAATGAAAAACACGGGTATGATAATTGTTGTGAGTTTTTATGAAACGTTGTAGATATTGATGTTTTGAAGTCAATTTTACTATTTTCATACATCTTTTGTGTTTTATACTGATATTAATATTTTCAATTATGAGGTATATTTTGTTTATTTTTTATTAAGGACCGATTCCTGTCTACAGAAAATAATTCGAGAAAGATTTAAATCTTGTACTGTGTTGACAATAGCCCACAGATTAAACACAATCATCGATTCGGATAGAGTGCTGGTAAGATACCTTTTTTAATAATATAAAAATAAATGCTTTCTTAATTACATATTTTCAAATTTTAGGTACTAGATACAGGAAAACTACAAGAATTTGACTCGCCGTATGCATTACTGAAGAACGTAAATGGTATATTTTATAACTTGGTAAAGAAGACGGGAGTAACTTCAATGAATGAATTATACAAAATTGCCAAAGAGAAATATTACGCTAAAGAAAGGGTCGAACAAACAAAACTATAAAACAGTGGATTGTCTTTAATGTATATCCATCTTTTATAGATACGGTGTTGTGTGTTTTTTAACTCTGTTTTTAGAAATATTAATTTAAGTTCTTAAACATTAAGTTAGTATTTCCGCACATCATATAAAACATAAAATTAATAATATGTAAACATTTGTGAGTTAAACTGTGATAAACATTACTGACAGTAATCAGAAAGTATAGGAGATAATATTTTAGCTATATTTACAATGGTTAATTTAAGAAATGAAGTGAATTTTCAAGTATTAAAGAACAGTAAATGACTTTAATTGAAATAATTTAATATAAGTTTTGTTTATGAATTCCCTCAGGAAATCTTAATCGAAAATATAATTCCAGCAAAATTTTGCATTACGGTAATAAGTAAAAATAAAATTAGCCTAAATGTTCCAGAATTCGTTTATTTTTGAATTATTTTTATTTTAGTGTCTAATAGTCAATGGGTTTATGTAACTTAAATCTTGATCTTAAATCGTCTATTTCGTTTAATATTTCGGGATGAAGTAATGGTCAAGGAAAGAAATTGAACACGGTAGCTTGTATGTAATGGGCATCCATTGCATTAAATTTTCGTGGTTAAACGACAGCGAAGTGCAAAGACAGAAAGAAGTCGTGTCATATTTCGAGTGGGGTCAAATTTAATTATAATCTTCTTTGCTTAATAGCATTTACGAATTTTGATAAAAACCTATCTCAACCTTCAAAATTCAGCGTTTTTGCTATTTTATAATTACAATATAATAATTATNACAGCACTAATTTTATACATTTCTTGTGAAAGAAACATTTCTTATTCAACGGCCATAAAAATTATTTATATTAATGATGTCTCCAAAGGTCAAGTTATTTTTCTGCGAAAAATTCGTTATCAGAAATCGCGGCCACCGTTTCGTGCGCTGTTCCGCGACGAAAACCAGCTTTGAGCAACGGCGTAGTCGAACGGTATACACTCGGTAAGTAATCCTATAATTTTTTGTTTATAGCATAGTTTATACAGATTATTCCCAAAAATTATACGTGTTTTGGAAATGTTGAGGCGAATTAGTCTAGGAATCGATTAATTTTATGGAAGAAAACCTTTCAAACAGCCTTAGTCCTTAAAGTTCGCACGTGTCGGGCTGTGATTGGCTCATGTGTTTAAGGATTCCTATAACGTGAAATTCGTATATCGTGAAACGTATCTATGGCGTTATAGGGTGGTCGACTGTAATGATCAAGGAACGAAATTTAATACGGTAGCTTGTATGTAAGGAACATCGATATTAAATTTTGATGGTTAAACGACAACGAGGTGCAAAGATAGAAGGAACTTGTGTCGTGTCTCGAGTGGGGTCAAATTTAATCATAATCTTCTTTGCTTAATAGCATTTACGAATTTTGATAAAAACCTATCTCAACCTTGAAAATTCAGTGTTTTTGCTATTTTATATTTAGAATATAATAATTATTTTTTAACGAAATATTATATTCGATAGCGCAGCAAAAATTATTCACTTTATACTCATGTAACATCTTTGTGAACTTCAAGGGTTTCTGAACGCAAATAAAACGCTAAACCTATACACTTGAAAATGAATATTATAATAAACGTTATCTAATAGATGTGTAAGATTGATGAGTATTGCATTTCTTATCTTCATCTGCATTGTATAGAAAAGTGTAGATGAGAATGGAGAGGAAGGAGAAAAGTAACCCATTCGATACAGTTGGTGTTTTCTGTCGTATATTTTTCTGGTATGTAATATTACTTTTTCTGTTTAATAATTAAAATTTTCAATTATGAATAATTACGAAGTTCTTTGCTTAGGAGTAATCTTTTCAAATAAAACCCCTAATTTATTCATATTGTTTATTCGTGTTATAATAAAGCTATATACACAAATTTTATATTTGAATTTCATGTACTGTGTTTAAAAGACAAAGCCGCAAATTTTCTCATAAACTTACAGTATATATTGATAGGGATTTATAGATTCTTGAGAGAAATCAAACGTATTTCATTAAAATTATGTCTCGATGGATGTCTCGTGCATCTAGCGATTTCTTGAAATCAGGCGGCAAGTTCGGGCAGAAAGGTCGAGAACCGAACGCAGTTTTGTGCAAAATCTCGGCGTCCATCGGGTGAGATGTGCCAGAAGTGACAGAACCGCTTGTCTTTTCTCACAGAACACAAACGCTAACTGCCGCAAATTTGTTGTGAAATAAAGAAATAAAAATGGCGAACGACCTAAAGTTCCGCGTTACGTTAAACGTATTTTTCAGCCTACTTAATGAGAAAAGCTGAATGAAAAATGAATATTTCGAAAGCAGAAAGGAAAATAAAAATTTTTAAATTTTCCTAGGAGTTTTAAATAACTATATCTATCCTAAAATTACACTTTAACAACTAAAATAAATTATGTGATGTATTACGTTATTTAATTATTATTCGAAAAATTTATTTTGTCGTTATTGTGAGAGGGCGTTTTTCGGTGAGTCGTCTGTCATTGTCGCCATCTTGGTAAATGTACCGGATTCCTGAGGGTTGCTTGAGTAATTTAAGAGAGTTTAAATGAATATCATTTTGTTGTGCAATTATTGTGATTTCATATACAGTCCATTTTCAACGTAAACATTTGGTCCATCGAGGCGGAGGATGTAGTGAATAATGCAACGGATTTCTGCTGGATTGAAAACTGAAAATTTCTACTATGTGCATTGGTGTTTACATTTTGTGGATTAACTCCGCAGAAACAGAATTCACTACGCTCGAGAAAGTAAGTTGGCCTTTTATTATTCTTAAGTTTGCGTAAACGAAAAAGAAAGTCCGGTGAATGTTCAGATGCGTGGACCATCATGGCGGCACTTCCTGTTTTAGCCTCGAAACCTGACGCCTTTGGAGACGACGTGTCACGTGACGACGCGAGCGCCTGCGCGTGTTCTGAGTGCGGTTTTGCTGCGCGACGTGTCATGTGACGACGCAAGCGCCTGCGCGTGTTCTGATTGCGGTTTTGCGCCTGCGCGACGTGTCATGTGACGACGCAAGCGCCTGCGCGTGTTCTGAGTGCGGTTTTGCGCCTGCGCGACGTGTCATGTGACGACACAAGCGCCTGCGCGTGTTCTGAGTGCGGTTTTTTGAAATTTTCGACCGGTTGGTGGTGGCGTTTTCTGTTTTTTTGCTTTTCCCCAGAGATGGAGACTTTACGCATTGAGACTTCCACGGATTTATTGAGACTTCCACGGATTCATACCGACCAATGGAAGGGATACAGCAACATCGGAGAATTAGACGGAATAGATATAAAACACGCGACAGTAAATCATTCGAAAAACTTTGTGAATCCGTTGGACGGCGTGCATACGCAAAACATCGAAAGGCTGTGGGGGATTTTCAAGAACAGAAAAAATCTGCCCCTACACTATACCGAGGAACTTCGAGATTCGTATCTGTACGCTTTTATGTACAAAAAGCATATGAAATGGGAAAGTCTCAAGCCGGGTGATCGTTTCAGAATTTTCTGCGAACATTTAAGAAAAATGTATCCAGGAGCGGGCCGCGAGCCCGAATGGAAGGAGCCAGAAACCGTTCCGGCAGCCCCGGAAGCGACGCCGAAGAATCAACGAAGCGGCGAGACGAGCAAGAGCAAGAAGCGCGCCAGAGTCGGCGAATGACTGCGGACAAAGGTGAGTAAAAAAAACTTTTTATTTTGTTATTTTGGTTAAAGTCCAGATACTTACTGTCATGGCGGCTCACCGCCGATTCCAGCAAAGAGAAGCAAACAGTGGGGACGCACGTTCTAACCTAACCTAAACCTATTCTAATAAATTGCCATAATTAATACCGATTATATTAATAGAATAGGTTTAGGTTAGGTTAGAACGTGCGTCCCCACTGTTTCCTTCTCTTTGCTGGAATCGGCGATGAGCCGCCATGACAGTCGCCGACGCTGCCGCGGCGCAGCAGCCGCCGCCGTTCGCTCGCGTCGTCACGTGACACGTCGTCTCCAAAGGCGTCAGGTTTCGAGGCTAAAACAGGAAGTGCCGCCATGATGGTCCACGCATCTGAACATTTACCGAAAGTCCTTAAGTCCAATACTACAAAGCTTAAGGAAAAGATAGGTGCTGGTATCGATGTAGCAGACGATACTCAAATAGAACTGTTCCAAACCAAATTTATAAACTTATAGTTGAATTACGTGATGTATTTCACGAGATCTTTTCGCGATGTAACGATAAGAAAATTAAAATGTATGTAGAGGAAAAGCAATCTATTGAGAAGACTATTGACTAGTGTTTCTCAAACGGGATCCCGGTTGTTTTTTTAACCCGGAAAATATCCCGGGAAATTTTTCTTATCCCGGGAAATCCCACAAATTTCTTAAAAATTCACTTTTTTTTTCTTATTTTGTGTTAAGGTTAAGAAATTTTGCAAATACAAAGCATAATTATTTCATTCACTGTCAGAATACATTTGTATTTATTAATTTTAAACCTACCTATTAGTTTTTTTTAATTTATGCTCGTTATGGCATGTCACAAATGGTCGATAATCAATACGTAGCTTATTTGTGGCAGGACTTTGAAAATTCTTTACTTGTAACACTTTGAAAATTCTTTACTTGTTTACGTGTAATATATGGAATAATTGTACTTACGATGTCTTAATTTTTAACCATGCCCAATAGCTTCAATAAATGCGTAACGCCAGATTGTGCGAATTGGGCAAAGATACAAACGAGTATGAAGTCTGCAAGTATGAAGTTTTTCTTCATAAACCTGATTATTAAAGCCAAACGAATTGCCGAATTATTGAGCTATAAGCTTGACTCCGCTATTAAAGCATACATAGGGATTAGATATTAGGATATTCCGTTGTGGGTTTTCCGATAAGAGAGAGAGAGAGAGAGTTTACATAAGTTGCGCGTGTCGATAAATACCTTTTGTTTTTGCTGTCTTGATTAAGATTCTCGAGCGTTCTGGGTGAAGGAAAGAAAGTTCAAGATGTCAGTTCTTGTATCCGGTAGAGAAAGTATCCGTAAGAAGAATAGAACGTAAAGTATCCGCAAAGGTGTTCGACGATGTTACGATGGGTTTCGATGATATTTAAGTAGGATATAACACGTAGAATAAAATGATATATTCACAGATATCCGAATATGGAGACACTTAGGACAAAAATACGAGTGACAACTTCTCGTTCCAAAGACGGGCGACGACTGCTCACTTTGTTATTCTTGTCTAATGTTGAACTGTTAAAATCGCGATACTAGG